GGGGAAGAGAGACTGGAGAGACTGAGAGGGAAAGAGAGACTCATTCTATTATTCTATTATAACTGTTCTTAAGAACCCCATCTAATGCTGGCTGAGGTAGCAGGAGTGGTTCTACAGCAAGCCAGTAAGCAACCTTTCTCCACAGGTTCCTGCTCTGCTTGAATTTCTACTCCTAGTTCCTTAAATGATGAACTGTGATATGGGAGTAAGAAAGATAAAGCTTTTTTCCTGAAATTGTTTTTAGTCATAGTATTTTATTATAGCAATAGAAACTAAGACACCATATGTGTTGTTCCTTGCAGAATTACTTTTGTTAACAAGATATTAGGAAAATGTATAGAATTAGAAAATATTATACTCAGGTATCCCCAGTTCAGAAAGCTGAATACTACATGTTCTGTCTCATATATACATAATAGCTTCTAATTTGTGTGTGTGTGTGTGTGTGTGTGTGTGTGTGTATTTATGAACAGAAGTCAGGACACTAGAAATGAGAGGTGATCTACATATCCACAAGTTTCAATATACTGGAGGGTTTTGTAATATTTTGCTTGGCTTTCATCTACTACTATGGAGAACTTACATAGCAGTGACATCTGCCCCAGTCCTGTCAGCACGTTCAGTACTAGTAATGAGACCTGTTTCTTTTCAAACCCATCATGATTAGAGGATTGCTTCAGAACAGTTTTCAATGACTACTTCCAGAACTGCACACAGCAGTACTAAGGAGACCAATTCTACTAATGTCTGTGACAGTCAAATTGACTTTCTAAGGGAGTTTTTCTCCTAGGACTTATTAATTAAGGTATCAAAGTACTGTATCAGAGTTGATTAAATATAACAACATTGAATTGCCTCGAGCAAATAACATTGAAATTTAGTGTGGAAATTTCTGTGTTCCTGGCATGAGTTTCTCCAAGAGAAAAAGTCTGACCTGTCAGCTGTAGCCATATACCCTCAGTTCCACTGACCTGAACTGAATAAGTAATGCATCCAGGCAAAACATCTATTTTTATAGAAAATTTAAGGTGAGAAGCTAGAAAATATTTGTATTCACAAATATATTAGCACTTTGTCTAGTAAGGATGGAACCAAAAAAATAAAAACTTGTTTTACTTAGGGAATGTTTTTTATTTTAAAATTTTCTCTCTGTTTTTTGAGAGTCTTCAGCTTATTATAAAAATGAGCCTGTCCCACCAGGGCATGAGTCCCCATGGGATCTATGATTTCCATAACTGTGGACAGTCTCCTTCTTCATTACTTTAAACAAGCATCCAAAGTTCGTGTGAAGGTAGCAGGAGAGAGTACCTTCAGTTATTTGAGTCCCAAATAGCAAAGTAAAGAAACAGAAGAAAGAAGTTCACAATTTCAACCTAAGGAAGGAGAGTCATCATGTATGTGTCTGTAAGGAGTAGCTAAAATGACTATGTGATCCTTCCCAAATGGCTTCTGCAAAGGGAGAGAGAAGAAATTTAGCCAACATTCAATTTTTAGGTTAAAACAATATGTTTAAAACAAAAATCTTTTTCTCTTTTAAGGTTGTACTTCTACAACCTAAAAGCAGCTACAGTGTACTAGCTGTTATCTGTATTAACTTGACACAAGCTAGGTTTATCTTGGAAAAAGAAATCTTACTTGAAAACATGTCCCGGCTGGGCGGTGGTGGCGCACGCCTTTAATCCCAGCACTTGGGAGACAGAGGCAGGCGGATTTCTGAGATCAAGGCCAGCCTGGTCTACAGAGTGAGTTCCAGAACAGCCCAGGCTATACTGAGAAACACTGTCTCCAAAACAAAACAAAACAAAACAAAACAACAAAACCAAAAAAAACAAAACCAAAAAAAAACAAAAAAAACCAAAACCAAAACAAACAAACAAAAAAAAACAAAAAAACAAAAAAAGAAAGAAAACATGTCCCTACAAAATTGGCCTATAGGTAAACGTGTGATACATTTTCTTAATTAGTGATTCATGTGGAAGTGTCTAGCCCATGGTGAGTAGTTCTACTCGTAAGTAGGGGGTTCCTAGGTAGATAAGAAAGCAGGCTGAGCAAGCACTGGGGAGCAAGCCTATAAACAATACACTTTTGTGGCTTCATTTTCAATTTTGACTTCAGGTTCCTATCTGAACTTCCTGCTCTGAAGAAAGCTTCAATGATCAACTGTTCTATAGAAGTGTAAGTGAAATAAACTTTTTCTTTTCAATTTTTTTTGGGAGAGGAGTCCCATGTTATTTTTATCATTATAATTGAAACTTTAACCATGACGTAAGTTGATATCACATTGTGAGGTGTTCCCATGATAGGCCTAACCATGTTGTTTGAGGGCAGACTGTGGATAGACTTTGAAACATTGGACCCCATTAGCCAATCAG